CAGCTGCCGATGAAGTTGCCTTCTTGACCTTCTCGGTCTTCTCCGTCTTCACACGTGCCGGGGTGTTCTTCATCTTCTCGGCTGCAATGATCTCCTCCTCCGGGGTCATGGGCTTCTTTGCAGGAGTCTTTGGTGTCGGCGACAACGAGCGTCCCTTGGTCTCCTTGGATGGCTTCATTGGGCTCGCTGTTGGGTAGCTCCCCGAGCACGAGGCATTGGCCATCATCGCCTCGCCCAACTTCTCGTCCGCTCGGACTTGCACTGTCGTCCGGCTGTGTCCGCCGCTCTGCACCAGCGTCCGGCCTCTGATCTCCATCAACTTCCCGTTGAAGATCTTCTCCGTCATCTCCGGGGCCGCAAACAGCGACTTCAGCTCCTCCTGGGCCTGCTCGACCTGATCGGGAGGCGGTCCCACTGCCCGTGTCTGACCGGTTGCCTTCCCTTTGGTCACGTAGCGAAGTCGAAGGCCGCATCGGCTGCATGCCTGCCACATCGCTGAGCCATTGGAGCGCTCTCGTCCCGGAAGATGTTCTCCACGGCATGGCCATCCCACTTGTCGGGGATCGTGATCCGATGACGGTGGGCGTGACTTCATCCTCTGGAGAGGAGATGTAGATGGCCTGGTGTTCTCTCAGGCGCTGAGCCAAGATGCTGAGGCGGCTGGAAAGATCATCGGTTCCATCCTCTTGGACCATGAAAATTGTCCCATTCACAACTGCAGATTGACATTCATCATGAGAGTGAATGGAATGATGATCCTCATGTGCATGACCAACTGGTTCATGTACCGGAGCATGTTCTCCATGTGCATGATCAACTGGTTCATGTGCAGGTGCATGTTCTCCATGACAAGAAGCGCTCGTGACTGCACTTGACTCCATCACTGAATCCTGACCTTCACAGCCTCGATTCGATTCGGGAACATCTTCATGAACATGAGACTCACTGTCTTCGAGATCGATCGAGGGATGTCTGACGATCACAGTGTCGGCCGCGTACGTTTCTCGGTGCTCAGAGGGAGTCTTCGGTGCTGGACGAGCTGCAGTTTCAGCTGTCGTAGGAGGTGGTTCTTCTGGTTCGACCACCACAGAAGGAGAAAGGTTGGGACTTTCGTCCGACTCAATGTGGGCTCCTCTCTCAGCAGCGCGGCCCATCCCAGAGGTAGTCGGTGCCGGAGGCCTCGTAGTTCCAGTCGCATGGCCCCTGATCAGGGCTGCAGTTGGATCCTCTCTTCGTCTTTTCGGCCTTCGAGCACCTGGATCATCACCATCTGGGTCCTCATCATCTTCATCGCCATATGATGGTCCACCGGGAGGCCACTCAGTGCCTGGGTTCGTGTTGAAGCGGGCGATCAGGAACCGGATCGGCGTCTTGGGAGTCTGCAGGTACAGGGTCAGGTGTCCACTCGGCAAGGGGGACAGTTCACTGCAGTACCAGTTGCCTCTCTCAGATCGATGTGCCATGTAGTCTCCATGGTATGAGATCACCGAGCGTCGGGCTTTCAGCTCTCGGGCCCCCAGCAAAGGTGGAGTCATCTCAGCCCCGCCATCGAGCAAGTAGAAGCCCAGTTCGCCCAGCGCTGGAGTATAGAGGACAACCTTGCTGACTGCCCGTAGTGACTCTCCGTTCCCAAAGCGGAAACGGGGCCGATCACCAAGCTCCACATTGTAGAGGAAGTTGCAGGTGTCCAGAAGCCTTGCCATCGCCCGGATGCCAGCCACAGACTCCGTCGCTCCGGTGTCAATGATCACGCGACTGCAGGACATGTTATCAAAGTCATCTCGATCTGTCAGGCTGAGGACGTAGATGTCGGGCACCCATTCTGCCTCATAGTCGGTGAAGAAAACCTTGCCCTTCTTCCCCTTGGAGGCATTCTTGCCCTTGCCCTTGCCAATGAAGGAACTCCTGGAAGAAGGCGACGACGAAGCTGCCTTCTTTCCTCCTTTTCCGGACCATCTGTCAGGGCACTTGGCATAGCCATGTCCTGGTTGTCCGCAGATGAAGCACGGACCAAATCCTCCGGATCCCTTGCCCTTCCCAGGAGGCGATCCTTTTCTCTTCCCTTTTCCACCTCCAAGATGTCCCGGATGGCCTTTGGTGCCAGTTGGATCGAAGTAGCCACGAGCTGCTCGAACTCTTGCCACCGCTTGGCGCGCTTCCGCCAAGGTCTTGTTGGCCTCTGTCGCAAGAGCGTAGGCCTCTTCCAACCGCTGCTCACCCTCAATCTCTTCAGTGCTTCGATCTTGCCCTCCAGCTCCGTCGTCATGAAGACCAGCATAGGGCTCCTCCGCCTCATAGCCATCATCCCAGGACGAAGGGGACCAGTCAGCCCAATAGGCGTCCGCCTCGCTCCACCAAGAGTCATCATCAGGCCACCATTCCTCCTCATAGTCCCAGTCGTTGTTCTCCTCATTGAACCAAACGGTCTTTCGAGGGAACCGGCCATGATGATCATCTGCCTGATCAGCTCCATCTGAAAACAGGGACCTCAGGGCTTGGCGGATCTGAGCGAAGTGGGTGGAGTTCTTCGTCAGGGTCAAGACATGCTGCCTCTCGGCTTGCGACAGCTTCGAAGCCTTCAGGAGTCTATAGCCCCTCAACTCATTCTCGAAGAACCCGACGCCACCTGAGGGCGTGACCATTGGCGGCGGTGGAGGTTCATCCTCTTCCGCCATGAAGCTGGCCTCATCCCTTCCGGAGCTCAACCCCGCCCGAGTCACGTTCGGCGAACGGGTTGGTGAAGTTGGAGGGTCATGTTCACTTGCCCCCACTGCCATCGACCGGACTTCATGCCGAGCACGCTCATGCCTTGCTCGTTGAAGGGCCTGTTGAAGTTCCACGAACAGCTCTTCTTCTCGGACAAGCAACTGCGGGATGCTCTCGTTGGGGCCCCTCCGGAGGCCACTCCATTTCTCCAATCTCGAAAACGAGTCGGGGATGGGGAGCTTCTGGAGAGGGCTTTCTCGAAGTACCCGAAGTAGTTTCTCCAGGCCTGTGTCCGAGCTGAAGTCCTTGGGGTCGAGATGGCGAACCACCGACTTGGCGGCGCCGGAGAGGCGCTGCCAAATCTTCGGGGCTGCGAGCTTCTTCTCGCTGTCCTTCAGAGCGCATTCAAACCACTTGCAGGATGTGGCGAATGCCTCGAAGGAGCTTGGGTCTCCGTCCCACAACGGGACCTCCTCTGCGGGCATCAGCCCTTGCCGCCAGGATCTCCTCGAAGGTCACCTGGATGTAGCCAGAGCTCCGCCTACCATGAAAGCGGTCCTACCACAAGGACAAAAAGGGGTCCGACCACGGACCGAGGCGCGCTACGCGCGGTTTTCCCGCACTGCTCTCGAGCCCACCCTATGGGCAGTGAAAAAGGGTCAAACATGTGTCCATGGAACCTCATGCTTGCACTAGCAAACTGTTAAGAACGTTGTTCTCCCTAAAGCACGTCTGACACGAACGCAAACCACCAGCCCCTCACTGGACAATCGGCATAGTACAGGTTCCTCTCAGTATTGTGAATGTTCAACACACTCAATTGCGGAGCTTGCCGCTGCATGTCCCAGATCATTGACACAGTCAGCGACCGCAAGCCGCCTCAAACAGATCGGCGCAAAAAAACAGTTCATCAACCAGTGGCTTTGCCACAGTTGCTTATAGCCAAGAGTTCTTCATCGCTTCAAGAAGGTATCCAACTAGCAATCATGCAAACGAATAAAAGAAATACAAGCGTTCATTTGTTCATTTGCGGTCCAGCGTTTGGCGCTGGGTGCCACTCAAGTGGCAGCCACTGCAAATGATTAGTGAATCAAGTTTGCAGGTCGACCGGTCTCATTCATGATAGGGACTATTCTTCCCACACTTGCTGGGACACAAACGGATTGCGGTGTGGAACAGGAAAGCAACTTTCTTTTTTGCACCATCCGTGGATCAGGCATTGTGAAAGCATAAGTTGCAACTAACGGATTCACTGTTGCTTGGGGCAATTGGAATGCTTTTTGTTCTGAGACAAGTTGGCGTAGCGCTGTGGAAGCGACGTGCAGCAAAGCTATGACTTCATGTCAATCTGCAGCAATAGGGAGTAGCCAGCAGCCTGCGACACTAGAAGCGATTGCCACGCATGGACAAATCTCGAAGATTGGATATATAATAATAAGTAACAAGGAGCTATTAGAAACAAGTGCCTTACTAGTACGTTCCGAATACGTGCCTGGGACCCACTCGGTTTGCTTTTCAGTCGGAGCTCAAGAAAGACCCGGTTCATGGAGAGAGCACGCAATGCTAGCACACCCGGCTCCCAGTCAGTGCTTGTTTCTGACTGTAAGGTGCATCAATGTCACCTTGCGAAGAGTTGAGGCAAGCGCTAACCCTGCCTTTGTGGTCCTTGCGACAGTGTGAAGGCGCGACTCAAAAGGCCAGGAAGCAAAGCGTGATCACACCTCGTTGGCCTTTTGTTGGTCTTCAAGCAGTTGAAGCTAGGGCTGAGTTAAGCTGTGACACGGCCGATGCAAATCAGCAAGGATCTAGCCCTTCTCCAAGCTCGGTTGTTGTGCCACTAACTATCTAGCTCTTCTGGGATTGGGCTTGAGGATGATGCCTCGCGGACAGGGAGGAAGCATCGCACATGAATAAGTTCTGTTGCAGTTGGCCCACAGGAAGTTACATTCACAGCGATCAGAAGATGGCAGCGGTCACAGTGCGAGACACAGCAGGAGGCAGCCACCTGCTGCCACAGCCAGCAATGGGAGAGAGAATCGGGATGCTGTGTGCTAAATTGACAAAATCATGTCCACTAACACTGCCCCTTCATCGCCGGCCACCTGGGCAATTTCTGATGCTTTCAAAATTGATCTTTATTCAGGGAGGACCGTCTGGCGGGACAACCTGTATAGATCCATGGAGGATCTCACAGGATATATTATAGCTGGTCAGTGAGAAGAATCTATTCATCGACAGTGGGATTGATGATCACAATATTTGGTGCTGTTCCCTGGTCCTCCCCTGATAGCAGTTTATAGGACAACAGTAAGAAGTCCAAGTACGACATCATCGCAAATATTGGCCGCTGCACGGACTTCATTCCCGTGCAAGAAGCTTTGCAAACGGTGCAGCATCAAATCCTGCAAGCTCAAATTAAAATCATCCACGTCGTCGATTTTGCTCAAGACGAGGTCCTGCAAACCAACTCCGAATTCCTATCGGTCAGCCTAGCTGATTTCGTCAAGGTTAACTCCCACAGATTCTGGCGACCAAAGTTTGTACATCCTAGATCATCCTAGCCTTACACCCTTTCTCCGTTCTCCCTGAGCCGTCCTTGTCTGCAGGGAAGGAGGCATTTGCCTCCCTCACATCTAAGATTTGAAGTTTATCTAGGCACGAGTTCCGGCGCGCCGCCGAGTGGATCTGAACTGCCTGCCGAGTGGATCAGAACTGGAAAACAGACACATTCCGCTGTCGGGCGTTGACGTTCCACGAGCCCCATCTGAAAAGCCGAAATCCTTTCGATCTCTGATAAGAAAAGGAAAGTCATGTCACATTCCTTCACTCCCCACGAGAATGAATCGACTCGAAAGATCAACACAAAAACTATGTTCGCCACATATTTCAAGCAAAACAGGTCACCGAAGAAGACCGAAGGAAAGAGAAAAACACCAGGTCTGCAGGTGGTCTTTCCAGCAAAGGTGCACAGCCGCCCAGGCTGAGCGCAGTTTCCGTTTTGGTGCCTCTGTGGATCAACCGAATGAAGGACGTACTTCTTGCGTTCAGCGTTCAGCGTCGGAAAAGCAACGAGTCGGAACAAACAGGATCCCACCAGATGCCCCTACTTCTACTTCATGTTTTCGGAAGCCCATCTCAATCTAGGATGGTCCACGTCTGATGGACTGGCAGGGAGTGCTACTCAAACAAGGGAGAGTGCTCCATAGTCTCGCAGGGCTGTGAGTTTAATTCAAAAACCTAACAAGTGAGAACCGGCTGGAGTTGATGCCTTTAAGTATAAGGCAGGCTATGATTGGGTATATCCAATGGGACGACGGTTCTCACCTGCCCGCCCTACTAGCTTCTCCCACCTGATGCAGATGAAGATCCCGGGCCGCGACCAGCTCAGCCACGCACCAGACGCGGGTGAGGAGATTGAAGTCTACGTCAATGGCCACCACCTGCTCCAGTTGGACCTTGCCATCGCAGGAAAACCCCCACTGGGCTCTCCACCTGGTCCTTTGCTAAAGAATTAATCGAACTGGTGGTTTAGTAAGGAATCCCTGCTAAACCAAAAGGGCTAAGGGTTCTAAGAGTACGTACAGTACGCCAAGAACAGTCAAGACCACTGGACCTCCGCAAGAAAAGCCTTCGCTTGGAGAAACTACTAGAAGACTCCACGATACCAGACTCTAATCATGGAGCTTTTTGGTGTGTCTGGAGACGTTTCTCCCCAATGTCTGCCATCTCCATCTGCCCGACTGTTTGGGGGGGGCTCAAACAGAGATCCACAAAACCCCCACAAATCATTTCGAGATGACCCGGTGACGAAGACCCCACAACTGTGAGCAAAATCGAGGACGATGCCACCCCAAATGCGGCACCGGGGCATCAGAGTGATTCTCCCGCGCTTCTTGTCGAAGCGTGCGCTTCAAGAAGATCATCATGTCATCGAACTTGTTCATTTCCTGAACAAAGTGGAAAATGAAGAAGCGCAAAAATGCTTTCTTTAAAAAAGGGGGAATTGCGGGTTCTAAGTTCTGCGACAGGGGGTCTAATGATTTGTTGATATTCTTTTTAAGAGTGAGAGACACTAAACTACCAAACCCAATCACCTGGAAATTTGTCGCAAACCTCCAAACCCTGCAAAACACACCGCTGCTATGATTTGTTTAATTTGCCTTTGCTTGACTTCTGTATGGCCTGATCATACCCACTGTCAAAATGTCTCATAAATTACTCAGCGTATGATTTATACCACATGTCCATGCACACTAAGAAAAATCATAAATCGAAGCCGTAAAAACATAGAAACCAACATTAAGAATAATCATTGATGTCTAACCTCAGGCTGATCTTCGTAGCCATAACAATAGAACCCAAACCCATTGGTGTCTCAGCCGCCAATGCCCATCCTTGTAGCAGGCAGCATGTGTAGGGATTTTATCTGGAAGGTGGGGTGTTCAAAAGCAGGCCGGCTGTGGAAACAACGACTGGTAAGCTTTCCAGTCACAATGCCCTGAAAACAGCGACTCGTTTCCATGGCAAACAGCGGCGATGCATGAAACATTGGGCGCGACGGTGCGACATGGGGTGCGACGGTGCGACAACCAAACTTCCGGGTTGAAAGTAAGTAGATGTCCACCTGATTGCTCAAGGGCTGTTACAGTATCTCCCTTTTTTAACGCGGGGCCGCAATGAAGCGTTAAACCCAGGAACTTGCAGATCCACGACAGGTGGATCCTTCACGGCAAGGGACTCACAGGAGCAATCGTTTCGTGCGTTCTTCCTGAAGATCTAGAAATCAAATGAACAATCATGAACAGGCGGTGGGCGGCTTCCTCACGAAAGGTAGAGACGGACCGGGTAGCGGTCGTGCACCGGCTCCGGCATGGCTAAGGAACGTTTGCAACATCATCCAGGTTTCCAACATCATCTGCAGCTGCATGCATGCTTCGGCATGGCAAAAGCATGGGTCTATCTATTTGGCCTAAAGACTCAGTAGGTGGATCGTGCGAGTGGTGCTGGTGAAGGGGGGGGCCCGTGGGGAAGTGGGTGATTCAGGTGGTGCGCGGCAATGCGGTCAGATTGCGCGACACTGCTTTGCAGAGAGGCTACGTTGCGTCGACGCGTGTGTAAAAACAGGCGCGCGTAAAAGTGGCAATACGTAAATGATCGCATGTGTACCAGCTATGGTCCCACAGCTGCGCGCACTGTGTCAGGATTGCAGGCCTGCACACGTTGCGTCGAAGCCGCAGTGACCAACCCCCTTGTAAGGATAGTGCTGGAGGGGTGCGGTTGGTACTGCCAGGGATTGACGTCACGCTATGGTAGGTGGCTGATGGGAAGGGAGCGTAAATAGCTGTGTAGTGGTGCTCCACCATGCGGTACGATGTCGCCACGCTAGGGTAAAACGCTGAGTCGAACGGTGCTCCGCGATGCGACAGGTTTCTCCACAGGGCTTTGTAGAGAGGCTGTGTTGCGTCGATGCTCATAGGTAACCTCATGGCCAGGGTCGTACTGCTGTGACTGCTAGCGCATAACTTCACCTTATGGTGTGTCGATACTGCTGGTAGTGGGTGCGGGAGGGGGTGTTAGACATTGATCTACCAATCTTTGGTCCCGAGCGGGCTCTCAAGCTAGTCCCTTTGCTTCGCAAAGCAAACTCAAGGTAGTCCTTACAAAGGCTACCTTTCGTGATATACCTGTATCCAAATACGCACCTACTTAATTCAAGTAAGAGATGGAACAAGAGGCCGCCGTGGGCTTCCACCTCTCGAGGGACGATCGAACCACCGACTGGGTGCCACTGGGCTTCACTCAACGCACCGTCGAAGTGCTTGGCAGTGGTACATTCGCAGGGAGCAATTGCATGCCCAGTCGAATCCGTTGGTGGGGGACGGGCGCAAATCCCCGCATGCTGGTTCACACAAAGAGCGCAAATCCAATACGGCACGTCCAACCTTTCTGGATAGGTCGGACTGGTCAAAAGAAGTGAAGCAAATGCTAAGTGCGAAGATGTTTGACATCAATGGCCGTTTGCGTCCAAAAATGTAAACATGTTGGTTTCAGATGTGTTCAGATGTCTGCAATATGCAAAAACATGGACAAACATCTCAGCAGTTCTTAAATTTGGGCAGAAATCCCTTGAACAAGAAAAGCTTTCGGGAAATCCCGCATGCTCTAAATTCAGCTTTCGGGGCTTGCCCTTGCTTTGCAGCTTGTTGAACAATGACCTTGGTGAAGGTTGAAGGCAGGAGACACAGCGAGCGACGGCCAGCGAGCGACAGCAGAAACCAACAACAGCCCACGACGGCGAACGCGGCGCGGTCTTCTGAAAAGCTACACTGTATCTCCCTGCTTCAGAATTCGGCTGACGCCATCATAGGTCGCATCTTGCAAAGCATCCGCCAAAACAGCTCCAAGCCTCAGCTGGCTGAAGAGCGTGCTAGTCGCGCTGGGCGCGGCCACATCAGGGCTTGGCTCGGCCACATCAGCTCTTTTCGGGGTCACATGGCTTGCCGTTTCACCTTGTGAGCCATCGACCCCCTCACGTGACTCAGCCCCCCTCACGTCGCATCGACCCGGGATTCGTAACACGAGCGGTTCACGAACCGGACGCGAAAGGAAAACCCAACGGCCGCGAATGCAGCCATAAAGTAAACCAGCGGTCGACCAAACAAAACAGCTAGTGCATCCCGCAGTTTAACATATATACGAACTTATATGACATATAAGTAAGGCGCCTTCTTTCTTCGAGCGTTCCAGCACATCCCAGAACAACCGTTCTCGTTGCGTTATGGACTCCGTCATCGAGAAGCGAAGGGACATGAAGGAACCGTAGGGAACCCAACAGTGTTTACTAAAACAAGGAAGCCCCTTTCAAGTCGCATCTCCCTTTCGGACCAAAGGTGCAAAGCGTGCTGATGCTTACTCTGTGATTGGATGTTCGGGGAGCCCGAAGGTTTCGATTTGTCCTCCTCTTTTTGCAAGTTGAGAAGCAAATGACTGAACTTGTTGCCCCAAGCATGTGTGACCATTTTCTGCGCTAAACGTCCATGGCCACCATTGGCGCAGGTGGCATATGCAAAGCCTGGCTTCGAGTCCTCACCCCGTCTTCTTTCCGTCAGCCTCAGATGATTCGTGCTTCGTGGTGCTCGTCATGGGTACGCTTTCGGATTGGAAGCTCTCAACAACGGGGTGTTCTATCTTCGACTGTGTCAATGAAATTGGTTTTATTGGTTTGGCTTTTCCCTGAAATTGAGATCTAAGATTGTACCCCTTCTCATCCCATTTGGGCCTGTCTCCAAAGTCAAATTCAACGGGCAGGGGTCGCATTGCGGTCGCATTCCCCGCTTTTCTTTTCACATGAAAAGCTTTCTATGCAAATCATCGCTTGCTTCGAGGAAGTTGAGAATCGGCGAACTTCCAATACACCTTCCAGTCTTTCCGCGTCAACGCCGCTGTCAAGCAATCCTGGCGCAAACATGGATCTGCATTTGACATCCCAAAGCTAGATCGTTTGGTTTGGACTTGTGTTGAAAGAGTCTGATTCTGTGCTACTTTCCCACAACCAGAAGGCATCCGAGAACCCAATGAGCCAGCGCATTGGCGGTGTTCCTGAGGGATGTCTTAGGGAGTGGCCACCAACACCAGGATCCCCACACCTGGACGCGAGGATGACCGAAGGATGCTCGATGAACGGGCGCCACAGGGCGCAGGAATCCACATCGAGCTTGACATTGCTGCCTCAGCGTCACGTGGAGCTCTCTCCAAGTTCGGCACTGGACCGCCCGGACCCCCCGGGGCCCTGGGGTCCGGGAAGCTGTGAACATCCCGAACGCACATGTCTCGGAACACGGTGTTCCGCTCCAATGACTCCCAAGCTCAATGTACCCGCTTAGAAGACCTCCTTAGGCCTTAGACATGCAAATCTGACAGCCTGACGCATCTCGGCCAACCTTTGCTCCGAAAATACCATCTGGATGCCCCACAGTCTCTTCTAGCGAATCAAATTGGTGGGGACGCCATCCTTGGCCATACCTGCCCATTTCACCCTGAAATCACAGAACCGATTTTGCTGTCTCACGGCAAGGGCTAAGGGAGACGCAAAGCCTGGTGAGGTTGGCTACACTCGTTGGGAGATGGAATGTCCCCAAGGCCCCGGTCAAGTCTTTCAAGCTAAACCAGGCAGTCCAGCGACAGGAAACTGTTTGCACGCATCTCCATGTTTCAAGAACACTGGCAAGGTCTGCGTATATTCCCCATTCGAATGGCAACCGCGAAAGCGAAAGGAATGCTGCCAGGCTGCACGCGCCTCATGGACCGAGTCATAAGGACGTACTGACACCTGGGCTGCCAAGGTCGGTGGGTAGCGCTCTGCACCGGGCTGGTCTCGAGCGGAGAGCTGGGATCCCTCTGCTTCCTCGTCTCCAAAAACACGGGCAGTCTCATGCAACGAAATGTTGTGTCAAAGGGAAGAGCTTCAATTAGCTAAGTCACCTAATTATGTGGTGAGCTAGCGGGTGTTGCTGAGCTTCTTTTTGGTGAACTCAAATCCGAAGAGTTCGCATTCAAGTGCTGAACTCATGAACTTGTAAAATGCTGGCTGAAGGCGTTGGCCGAGCTATTAATTTTAGCTACGCGACATGTGTTGGGACAACGTTGGGCTAGCTTGCTGGCTCGCAGGTGTTGAGCAGCAAGTGGCGTAGTGAGTTTTGTGTGTGTCTCCCCCTGTTCCAAAAGGTTCTCTTTTGCATGCGCGAATTCAATTATACCAGCGTAGACCCCAAACAGAGCAATGTTCAAAAATGAGATCTCCGAACAATATGGCCAGCAGTATTTCCTAGAGGAAAAAAACTGTAGTCCACCATGTAGACGCACATACAAGATTCAAAGGGAACGCATTAAAATTCTGTTTTTCTTTGACTTTACAATGGGACGCCGTACAAGGGCTAAAACATGAAATTTATGGATCCAGGTTGTGACATATGCTGCCCCCCTTGTAAACACGAATGCGCAGACCCAATCAAAATGAAGATTTCCTCAGAGCACGGACACTGCGCTTGGCTTTTTCCTTCCTACGCAGTTGCCTTCTTTGGCTTAGCCATGTACTGCATTGACCTGTGTTTGCCATAGGTCGCAACACTTGACGTAAGAGTGTGTGATTGCTTCGTTGATCATCCGCACGAAAGTAGCTGCCAACCTAAACAGCAAATCGAGCAATGCAACGCTTGTGGTGAAAATATGTGAAAATAGTGTATTTCGAAGCAAAGCAACTCGAAAGAAGCTTGTGGTGACTCAAAACGAAACGAGGATCTGCGAGGATCTCTGCAAAATAAGGAAAATCCTTCAAGACTATGAAGGGCTTAGGTGGCTTCATCTTCGGGTCGTCCAAGCAAGCTGCCACCAAATCTGGAGCTCTTTGAAAAGCTTCAAATCCAGCCTCATTTAGCTCCAGATTTCAACTGCGTGTGTGTGCGAGGGCAAAAAAAATTGATTTGGCCATTGCGTTTAAAGTTTTTTTTGGCAGCGCTTGTTCATATCCACTGACTGTTCAAAGATGTAAAAATGTTCAAAAACTCTCTGAAAGTCACTAGTCGCCTGGGTTGTTTGCGTCCGCTTGTGGTGCATGAGGAAGAGGCTCCGATTATGCAAAAAGCATCTGTTGTGATAAAGGGCTCTTTCTATGTGCGAAAACTCAAAGGCCCATACACCGGGTCGCACAAGTCAGTGCAACCCCAACATTCATGTCAGTTCCATGAAATGATACGGTGCACGCGGAATGATGTCGTGCGCATGACATGATGTCATGCGCATGAAATGATGTCATGCGCATGAAGTAATACTTCTCATGGGAATACTGTAGTTTTACTAACAGCCGCCGAAATAATACTAACAGCAGCCGAAATAATACTCTGCCCGTGAAATGATGTCGTGAACATGAAATCATGAAGCGCACATGAAATGATGTCGTGCGCATGACATGATGTCATGCGCATGAAACGATCTCACGCGCACGAAACTAGCATCCAATGTGACCGCATGCAGTGCGGCGACTTGCGGCGCGGTCACGTGCAGTCACTTGCGCCAGCGGACAGTGGTGGTCACTTGCTGTCACCTGCTCCAGCACGCGGTGGCAGTCACTTCGGTCACGTGCTCCAGCAGTCTCTTAAGGGGTCACTTACTGTGGTCACTAGCGGTACGGTCACTTGCACTCGCTGCCGTCGCTTGCGGTCACTTGCTCCAACGAGCAGTGGCGGTTACTTGCTGCAATCACTTGCGGCCACTCGCACTTGCGGTGGGGTCACGCGCGGTCACTTGCTCCAGCGGGCGGTGGGGTCACGTCCGGTCATTTGCTCCAGCGGGCAGTGGCGGTTACTTGTTGGAGTCACTTGCGGCGCACTTGCGGTGGGCTCACATGCGGTCACTTGCTCCAGCGGGCAGTGGCGGTTACTTGCTGGAGTCAGTTGCGGCGCACTTGCGGTGGGGTCACGTGCGGTCACTTGCTCCAGCGGGCAGTGGCGGTTACTTGCTGGATTCACTTGCATCGCATTTGCGGTGGGGTCACGTGCGGTCACTTGCTCCAGCGGGCAGTGGCGGTTACTTGTTGGAGTCACTTGCGGCGCACCTGCGGTGGGGTCACGTGCGGTCACTTGAGAGCAAGCCGTTGCAACCTTCTTGATTTTTAGCCTCTTCTATCTGCACATTACTTGTGAGAGCTGTCTGCAATTCTGCAATTTGGCGAGCTCGGCACATTAAGCAACATGAAATTCATGGGAATTCTGGCGCAGTAACCAAACTTTCAAGTGCTCAACGAGACTTGCAAGGCCAACCATCACGCACTTTGACTGACAAGCTTTTGCGTCGCTGCATTTTCCGCAATACATCGTTCAGCCGTCGTGCCTATCACGTCCAACGCAATGATCGTGTCTACATGCACCCACTCCGAAGATAAAACAAAGGCTGTGACAAGGAATAACATTTGCAAATCAAAAGGCGAAATCAATTCGCGGCACAGCATAGCCATACTTGAAGCCGCACTTCTACGGATTTTTTACTCGTCACAACGCCCGTTTCCTGTGGAATCGTGTTGCGACGCAAGAACATTACGGTGAACCCTTGTGATCATTCCCCTGGTATGTTGTTTGTGCGCTGCTCTGCCCCCCCTAAAAAGATCGAAAGTGTTGTTTACACCCAATCTGGCAAAAAGAAATCCTTGATCAACAAATCGAATTCTTGAAGCAAACACAAAAACTGCACGACTCTTGCAAACAATGCTAATGTCTGCTCACTTCAGCATCCCGAAAAGAATGTAAAATAAAACAAAAATGTTTTAAAAAAACAAACAAACTTCCTCGATCCTGAACACATCGTTACGCAATGGCATTGCTCTGCTGCGAACAGTGTTTGACAAGCACCGCAACGGCAAAAAAGCATTCAAACATGCTGGCTTTCGCAAGTCAGTAAAAACATCTTCTTTTTGGCTACCATCACGCAACCCTCATGAACCCGCAGCAGGCCATCTGCCACAACGACTGAGTCAGGGCAGCCAGGTGCCAAAAAGGGGCACACAGTATGGATTCCGCTTTTCATCATGTCACATGCCGTGTGACTGCAACCAAAATGTTGACATCGATACAATCAACCATCCATCACTGAGAGTGACCCCCAGCGCAAGCAGAAGTGCAGGACAAAGCCCCAAGCTCTGTTATATCGGTCTGAACGCCCTTGCTAACAACAAAGATGATATCGTTATCCGGCAAACTTTTCTCAATTGCATCTGTCTTTCCATTGACCATAGTCTCCAACAAGAATCGATCACAAACTGCCACAGCCGGCAAATCATCCTCATTCACATGAATTGCCACCAAATCCTGGCAAAAGAACACGCTTGCTTACATGTTCATTCATATCTCAAAGCAAAGCAGAGCTTTAATTGAATGGCACACCACTAAAGCAACAATGCCTTCTCTGCCGGTTTTTCGTCGTGATCTGGAGCTTCAGGCACGTGAGCTTCAACAAGACTTTCCTCCAATGCGCTCACCGAATAGCGCCACTTGCAAAGCTCAAAAGTACAAAAACATAGCAGCCATAACAAAAATCAATCCATAGATCAAAGCCTCCCTCCCAGCAACCCCAACCTGCTCCTCCAAATCAGCTTTAATCTGCTCATCTGCTTCAGGACACGTCATATGGCCTCGTTGATAATCAAAATCCAAGTCCCTGTGATTGGCTCCGCCGCAAAAAGCTTCTCCAATAGTCACAGCCGCAGCATAACTTGTAAAGCGGTGCCAAGCAAGAGAAGGTGCCTGCCGCTTGCCATGACACAGAGCATATTTGCATACTCAAAGACCAAAATCATACATCTGTATATATAGACCGCATTTTACATACCATGTATATATATATATATATCCATGTTGTTGGATCCAAAACCAAGCTCTCATGATGGCCTGCCTTCTTAGGATTCTCCTTCTGAAACTGGCACTTCCAAACGGGCAGCCATTGAGATGGAGCTTTTCGCGCTTTCCGCATGTTGCAACACTCGCGAAAAGCAATCAGTAACAAAGCTTGTCTGATAACATGTCGCAAGATGGCGAGCTGTCCCTTTGGCAAACTGCAACACTAAACCATGCGTCATTCATGATCTGAGCCGGCAAACTTATCGACGGCCCAGTGCAGACAACGCAGCTTTCAAACTCGAAACACCAGAAATACAACAGAGCAACGGCCTTGTGCGCATCAAAAAATTGATCGGCCCAGCATCCAGCCAAGCCCGGGGATGCAAAGCATCCAGACAGGCCATGGGAAACAAGTGGAAGACAAGTGGGCCACGTCGAGACATGTGGGAGACAAGCGTGAAATCATGCGGCCAGAGCACTCAGAGCATCCAGAGCTTACTGGGAGACAAGTGGGAGACAAGTGTGAAATCATGCGGCCAGAGCACTCAGAGCATCCAGAGCTTACTGGGAGACAAGTGGGAAACAAATGGGAGACAAGTGTGAAATCATGCGGCCAGAGCGCTAGAGCATCCAGAGCTTACTGGGAGACAAGTGGGAGACAAGTCTGAAATCATGCGGCCAGAGCACTTAGAGCATCCAGAGCTTACTGGGAGACAAGTGGGAGACAAATGGAAGACAAGTATGAAATCATGCGGCCAGAGCACTGAGAGCATCCAGAGCTTACTGGGA